TAAACGCACTCCAGGCACATGTGCGTGTGTGCCCAAGATCCCGAGAGGAGAATGGAGGAGAAGGGATTGCAGTGTGGCCATCACTCCCGGGGTGGTGATTTCGTGCTTTCTGTCTCTCTGTCTCTGTCTTTCTGGAGAGTGCACATGCCTTGTAACAAAAACCTCTCCAAAAACATAAAAAAATAAAAAATAAAAATAAACATCAGGGCCAACAGGTGGCGTGGTGGTTAAGGGGGCTGGACTCTGGTTTGAATCCCAGACATGGTGGCCTGCTTTCTCACTCCCACAGTCCCCTCACTCTGTACTTCACTGCTCAAATTAAAATGAATAAAGTTAAATAAAATAACTCTTTTTAAATAAATAAATTTTAAAAAAAGGATCCGGCAGGTGGCATAGTGGTTAAGGCCCTGGACTCCCACATGGCCGACCACGGTTCAAGTCCCAGACCTGGCAGCTTGCTTTCTCACTTTCCCTCTCTCTCTCTTACTCTGTCCCTCTCTGGTCCAATTTAAATAAATAAATAAACAGATAAATAAATAAAAATCTCCGGGACTGGCAGGTGGCATGGTGGTTGGGGCATTGGGATCCCACATGGTCAACCATGTGGTTCAAGTCCCTGACCTGGTGGTTTGCTTTCTCACATTCTCTATTGAAATAAATAAAATAATAATGATAAATAAAACAAAAATTATTTAAAATAAATAAATAAACATCTCCAAGCGTGTGGGTGACTTAATGCACCAAGGATTGGAGGGGACATCCTTCCTATGGGAGGGACGCTGTACCCTGGGACAGCGAGTAGAGGCATCAATTCAGGAGGTGACCTCCTGGTCCCTTCTTTCTGTTCAGACAGAGTTCAATCCCCAGCTCAGCTACTTACAAAGTGGGTGATTTTTACGAGCCTCAGCTTCCCTTTTTGCAAAATAGAAGTCGGTATGTATTGAGCTCGCCCAAAGGAACGCTGGTGTGACAATCCCTTAATTATTGAGGAAAGCTGGGCCCGCAGGTGGCGAGGTGGTGAAGGACGCTAGACTCTCACATGACTGAGTTGTGGTTGAGTCCCGGACCTGGCGGCTTGCTTTCTCACTTACCCTCTGTCCCTCTCTGGTCAAATTTAAATTAAAAAAATAAATACATAAATACAAATAAAAATCTCCGGGGGTGGCTGGTGGCATGGTGGTTGGGGCGCTGGAATCCCACATAGCCAACCATGTGGTTTGAGTCCCTCTGAGCTGGTGGCTTGCTTTCTCACTTTCTCTCTCTCCCTCTCTCTCTGTCCCTCTCTGATCAAATTAAAATAAAGTTCAATAATTGGGACCAGCAGTTAGCATAATGGCTATGTTGCTGGACTCCCATGTAGTTGACCAC